TTTAAAGTAAAACTTTTAAAAATATATTTTGAAAAAGAAATTGAAAATATCAATTTTCCTTGAAAATAAGTTTTTCAAAAAAAAAATATTTTTGAAGAAAAGTTGAAAGTATCAATTTTCCTTGAAAATAAAATTCAAAAAAAATATTTTTAAGGAAAAGTTGAAAGTATCAATTTTCCTTGGAAATAAGTTTTTCAAAAAAAAATATTTTTGGGGAAAAGTTGAAAGTATTAATTTTCCTTAAAAATAAGTTTTCAAAAATGAATTTTTGAGGAAAAGTTGAAAGTATCAATTTTTCTCGAAATTAAAGTTTCTAAAGATATTTTGAGAGAAAGTTGAAAGTATCAATTTTTCCTGCACAAAAGCAATCATTTTTTTCCTTTTTATTTTCTTGAATTTTCTTTAATGTTAAATAATCCGACGATGGAGCCTCTGCAAGTGAGACAGTAGTTTTCTTGCATACTCTTGAGGTGAGGAGATTTTCTCAAATTTTTGCTAAAAGTATTAAAGTCAATTGAGAATAATTTTCAATAATTAATTACTTGGTAATTTTTTAAGGCTTATTGGATAACACAAAATTAAGCTGGTACCATCTTTTGATGGGCATTGTGAGGGTGCTATAACCTTCCTCACACGTAACCAAACTCTCAAACATTGTTCTGGTTAGTAGACCTGAACCTATTCTTTTAGAGACCCTTAAACTTAGGTGTTTCCTAAAAGGATAGATTTCTTAGGTGGCCAATCACACCTAGATAAAAAAGATTGGTGGCGACTCCTTAAGTCAATGTCTAGCGATGGATCCCCGGATCTAGACGATATGAAAAATATTGAAGAAGATTCTTCCTAACCAATAAGATCTTCAGAAGAAATAGACTCCTAATTAAGAATGCCTATATGTGTTGAAGAAGCCTTCTTTGGTAAGGTATTGATCTTGGCAAGGATGGATGGAGATGATTTACCAAATCTAATCAATGTTGATGCAGTAAAGAAGTACTATGCTTAAAAAAATAAAAAAGGTGAAAAAACAAAGTGAACCAAAAATATATCTTATTTGAAAACCTAAAAGGGCAACTTATATAAAAAAGCATTGAATGGAATGGGGCAATTCTCAATGTGTGCCAAAAGATACCATTGATTTTGGGCTAGCTTGGTTAGTTGTGATTTTAAAAAGTCAAGGGGCATTAATGAAGGGTTTTCAAAAAAGAACCCATGATAAATTAGTTTATGATAATCTGAATATTCATTATATGATTACTTATTTTCCTTGTTATATCTTTTTGGATAATACATGAAATACTTCTCCCTTTTACTGAAATAAAATACACCTTTATTTATCCTTCTTTTGTCTCTTTCATTAAAAAGAGAAATGTACAATGTGTTATAATTATTGTGAAATTTTAAAAAATGATGAGTGAACAACAATGACCATGAAAGACACACATATTATTTTGAAAGAGATTTAATATGATAAGCAAAATAGTAAGGAATAAAGGTTGATGAGAAAATAGGCTTATAAGTCATAAAAATGGTAAACATTGAATATGAGAAATGTGGAGAGAAATCTTTTTATCTAAACTTAAACAATTGCTAGAACGCATGGGATTCAAGAGAAAATAAAAGAAACAAACATTGAGAAATTTTGAGGATTAAAAGAAAATGACAGGAAAAAAATAAAGAAAAAAGATGATCTCTTCATTTGCATCATAAGTGAATTTGCATCATGATCATCATTCATTGCATGACATTGCAAAAGCATGAAAATGTCATTCATGCATGCATGTGACATAATAGATATAGTGGTCTAGGACAACCCAATACTAACAAAAGGAAAAGTCAAAAGCAGAAAAGATATGAACTATTTGTTTAGAGTATCTTTCAAATATCATTACTTCACAGACTTTTAAATTTAAAATTTTGTTGCCTCTGGTCACAGAAGCTTTCTTTAAAGTTTCATAGCCTCTAGTTAGAGAAGCTTTTTAATTTTAAGAGCCTTTGGTCAGAGAACTTGATAGAAATTAGGCATCAAATGGCATAATCTATAAGTCCTCTTAGATTTTTAATTAAAGTTTCATAGCTTTTGGTCAGAGGAGCTTTTTCTTTTAAAGTTTCATTGCCTCTCGTCAGAGGAGCCTTTTCATATTTAAAGTTTCATAGCCTCTAGTCAAAGGAGCTTTTAAATTTTCAAAAGTTGTTAAGCCTTTTCTTAGAGGAACCTTTCAAATTTTCTTTCAAAAACCAAAAAAAAAAAAACAAAAAAGAGAGGAAGTGTTCATATTTATAACATCATTCGAACATAATAGTCATTTTTTTATCTTTTTTCTATTTTTAATTCTTAGCAATGTGCAAAAAGAGACAGCTATAGATAGTGTTATTTTTTCTTTCTTGATACTACCTAACTTGATAGCATGAAATTCGATGACCAAAAGTCACCGAACAAATTTGCATTTTTCCACAAAAGAATCCCAAAAAGTCTACAAACAGGTAACATAGAAAAAAAAACCTAAGGGGACACTACTAGAAAAAACACACAAATGAGCTAGAAGTAACATTGTTTTTAAAAAAAAAAAGATCATTGCCAAAAAACAAAATATAGAGAGCATTTTTTTTTACTAGGTTATAGCCAAACATACACAAGCATAAAGTAAAAAAAAAAGGATCATAGTCCCCTATTCACATAAGAACTAGCAAAAAAAAAATTGAAACTGTAAATCTTGATTTAGGCATTTCAAGATTTTTTTTGGGTAAATCTAGGATGAGGAAAGTGTTTAAAAGCTTATAAGGATAATTTTGGCTATTTTTTTGGATTTTTTGGAAATTTTTTTACGTCATTGGATTCTGGAAAACTTTGAATTTTCCAATGACCTTTGAAGTTTCTGGTGATTAGAATCTAGGCACATCGCCAGAATATGAAAAACTTTAAATTTTTTGACGCTATTGAAGATTCCAACCACCGATGCATGGCAGTGACGAGTCAGAATATGGGTACCACGGTGACCAACGAAGGGATGATTTCTTTTTAGAGAGAGAGGCTCTGGATTTGCACAGCGAGATAGAGAGGAAAGGAAAAATTAAAAAAACAAAAAAATGCCTATTTATATGCTTCCAAAATGACATCGTTTTGGACATCTAAACCGTCTGGATCCACGCCCGACCGCATGGAACCCACCAAGCGATCTGACCCATTTGTAAGGGTTTCTCTTTTCATTTTATTTTTATTTTTTGATTTTATTTTTGTTATTTGTTTAAGATTTTTATAATTTATAATATTTACATATTTTTTACACTAAAAATAAATAATTATCACTAATAATAAACAATAAAAAAATAAATACTAAGATTTTAATTTAAAAAATAAAAGGATAAACAAAATAATAATAATAACTATTTAAAGAAAATAAAAATTTTGTTGCAAAAAAATATTATTTAAATTTCACCAAAATGTTGGGATAATTTAAAAAAAATAATTTTTTCTAAAAAATAATAAAATAAAAACTAAAAACTAAAGAACTGTTTAAGTCAATATTTTAATTTTTTTTAAAGAAAATTTAAAAAGTTTGATTTTATTATTGCAAGTAAAAATAAATTTTTGGATTTTTCCATAGAGTTGGGATAATTTAAAATTATTTTTATTAGAATAAAGATTTATTTAAACAATATAAAAACCATAAATAATAAAAAAATAAAAGTGTTTTTAAATTAATTTCTTAATTATTACCAAAATATATTTTTAGATTTTACCAAAGAGTTGAGATAATTTAAAAAATATTTTTTATTAAAAAAATTTATTTAAATGATAAAAAATGATGAAAATAATAATTAATAAATAAATAATAAATAAAAATCTATCAACTATTTAATTAAATCCCTTGGGTAAGAATTTCAAGAAAATTGATAAAATCTTAATTTTCTTAATTATCATCAATAAAAAAAAGTTTTAGGATCTCATCAAAAAGTTGAGATGATTCTAAAAATTTGTTTAAAATTTCTAAGATTTTTCGAAAAATCAAAATAATCTTAAAAAATATATATTTAATAAATAAATAAATTATTTTATGACAAAATTTTGAGAATTTTGTGAATGGTTAATTTTTTTGAAATATTTTCTAAATAAAAATTTTTTATAAATTTTATCAAAGTGTTAGAGAATTTATAGAATACGAAAATAATAATAATATTAATTTCACAACAAAGAAACATTTTTTTATAAATAAATTTTAGGAAATTAAATTTAAATATAATGAAGATCATATCATCTAAATCAAAGGATTACACATATTTAATTGGTACTATTTTTCAAATAGGTGACGTGAGGGTGCTAATACATTCTTCACTTATAATCGTACTTCTGAATCCAACCCTAATTTTGTAGACTTTAATTTATTTTAGTAAATCTTAAATAATTTTAAATATTTTTATTAAAAGATGATATTTTTGGGTTATCAATCACATCCTACAAAGAAATTGATGACAACTTTACAATTTTTCATTAAATCTAGCGATCGAGTCCACCTAAATGAAAAATTGTTGTGACAATAATTTATTGATAATTTGTCAATGAAAATCTTTTTATTTTTAATTTCATCAATAATTAGCGATAGAAGAATTTCGTCAGTAAAATTCCATCGACAAGGAGCCAATTTCTGCACTTTGGTGGGACTCGCAGACACAGCGCATGGGGGCCTCTAGGGAGCCAGCAGCAGCTGGATCATATTCATATTCATATATATGCTAGCTAGGAAATCAGCATCTCATATATGAATGTATAGGCCCAGATAATCTTGTTATACATATTATTTTCGGCCAGCGCTTCAAAAAATCACATATCCCACCTATCTAATTATACACACATTCTATATCCTCATGCTATGTTTAAAATAATGATAATAAAACTCTAAATTGTTCTGGTGTTAATTTAGATCAGAATAGAGTACTAGATGTGTTTGGTATGGATTGCGGTATGGGTTCGGATTAAATTTTTCTGCTCTTAAAAAGGGTTTAGCTTAAGCAAGAAAAAGACAGGCATGAAAATAGCGCCATAACTGCAAATAATAATGATAATTAGTTAGAGTTTAGACACCATGGAACGCTTAGGACCACAAAGCTAAAATTAATTAGTTTTCACTCTTCTTTGGTGAATGTAAGAAGTAAGAACATTATTTCAACTGTTGTTCTCAAATCAAATACAGGAGGAAAAAGGGAAAAGAATCATGAACAATAGAATAAGAATACAGATTAAAAATTCTCCCGATGGAGAGAGAACAGCCAAATCATTTATCTGGTTATTAAAAAATACCCAAAGGAAAATTTAAAAAATAAAAAAAGGCTAAGCACTCATCCCAAACGTTTTCAGTCGAAGTCGTCCTTTACGATCAACATATGTGTGAACTGGTTTAAAGAGGTGAAAAAAAAATGAATTTACAGTTCTGTTCATATCTGCTGGAAGACATCAAAATTTGCTCGTGTTAGATCTTCTGAGAGCAACGTTAATGGATAGCTACTGATATTTACCGAATTGTGGTTGTGAAGCTGCTCTTCTTGCCATGAACTTGGTTTCAATTCCTCAGGCTTGATCCCATTGACCTGAAATTGAAACATGGAGTCCAACGTGCTCCCAGTATCCCACGAGAAAGCTCTATTTTCCACCATTTTGTTCATTTGGAACTCTGTGTAACTGCTGATATTTGAGCTGTTGCTAGAACTTTCCTTTGCCTCATTCAAGAGGAAAGAAGTACTTATTCTCGAAGCTGAAATATCAGAAAAGTCTGTTCTGGACATGTTTCCCTGATCAAAATTAGTTAAACTTGGCATTGAAGTGAAGGTGAAACTGGAATTTATCTCAAAACGGTTCTGATCAAATGACCTGACACTTGGGTGAAATTGTGGTACAAAATTGGAATTATACTCACTTGGATGATCAATCTCCGCCTGCAAATCAATGTAAGTCAAAGGATCATAGACTTGCTTGTTAATAAACAGCTCTCTTGAAGCTTCTGTCAATCCACTGCCATAGTAGTTACTAGAATCACTGACAAGAAATGTTGGCCCATGTGCTGCGAAGGATGATACAGTACTAGACAGCCCTTTAGACTGTGGTGTCTGTAACACTACCTTATCTGTACACTTGTTTTCTTCTTTCACTTCAACCTTGCTTAGCGGCTTGTGGGTGGTAGGGTCAATGCCTTGCTTCATTAGTTTCTTCTTCAAACAGGAGTTCCAGAAGTTCTTAATCTCATTATCTGTTCTTCCTGGTAACTGTGCTGCAATTTGAGCCCACCTGCAACCCGCGCAAACACAAAATCATTCAACTAAAAAACAATCAGTCCCCATTTCCACCTGTTGATTTGTTTATCAGATAAAAAAGATGTAACTTCTGTTGATCTGTTCCTAAAACATTAGTAGTGGTTACCTGTTGCCCAGAAATTCATGAAGTCTAATTATGAGATCCTCCTCTTGTTGTGAAAACATTCCTCTCTTAAGGTCTGGTCTCAAGTAGTTTATCCATCTCAATCGACAACTTTTTCCACATCTCTGCAAACCTGTATATATACCAAAAACCTATGAATTTTTTTTTCTTCAAATTCCCAGGAATGAAAAACAAACAAGTGAATTAGAGATGTAAAATTAATGTGCATTTGATAATGAAGAAAAACGCACCAGCGAGCTTAGGCACTGAACTCCAGCAACCAACCCCAAATCTTGTTATGTAATTAAACAATTTCTCATCTTCTTCAGGAGACCATAAACCTTTCCTTAACTTTTGCTTGAGACAACAGGAATGGCGTCCCATTTCAGACAAAGAAACAGTGGAAGTGAGAGGACGTAGGACAACGTTAACCAAACCCGCAGGAAAAAGGTTATAGTAAGCAGCTGAATGATTCGGACATGGAAAGGTGATGAGAGTGGGTTTATATGTCTCTCTTCTTCAATTTCCCAAGTAATCGTATGATTGGAAAAAATGAAGAATAAATTGTGATCATTAAAGGGATGAGGCTTAGAATTCAAGTTATGGAGAAAGAAAGAAAGAAAGAAAGAAAGAGAGCTTGAGGAAGGTGAAGCATTCAAGTGGGTTTTACGCAAATCTGGTGCTGCTTTTGCTTTGGACTGGATTAGTTTTTAAGAAATCTATAAATAAAAAGTGAATTAAATATAATAACTCTATAATCGTGTAATAGATAAATGTCCTGATGTTCCATGTATAATACTAATTAATACTATATATGTATCGCAAACTTAATAATTAATGAATTATTAGTATATAATATAATTGCATGCTTTGCTTTCACTATACATGTTTCAAATAAACTCATACACACACATATATATTTATTTACCAACATTAATCTCATTCTCACCCTTAACAATTTATAATTCACGTCTAAATAAACTAACCCAATTAATTAAATCAGGCTATATATATATATATATATATATATATATTATTCATCTATTGTTAATTAATGTGTTCTAAAACAAATTAAAATCACAATATGTGACTACCCTATTTGTTTTTTTCTTTTAACTTTTTTTAATCATGTGTGTGACACATTCATGCAACTAAACTGATTTGTTACTATTTAATTAATCTAAGGAAATATATTGTATATACCAACCATATAAATAAATACAATTAATGCATTTAAGTGTCATATTTATTGCATGTAACTTTATTCTATATATCGGTTAGAAATTAACGATGTCATAGTATTACTTCATACTTATATTTATTTATAAAATTAGTATTTAATATATTATTAACGTAAATTTTAATTATAAAAATGGGGTTAATTGGATATGCATACCCTATACCTTGTATTTTATATACCCTAAACTTTTGAGTACTTCATTGAATAGGCTATGCATCATATTTCCAAACGTTAATTATACTGCTATGCGTATGAATACATTCATTGCAGATGAAGTTAGATAACACAAAATATATAAATCGAAAGAGTTAATTAAAAATATATAGTAGTATTAATTACGTGGGAGGGAGTACATTGCCTTAATTTATAACTAAAAGCAATATTGGCATTAAAATTACAACCTGGGAGGTTCATTTAATATTCAAAAATTGCTCAATAACAATTGGACAAGTGAAGAATGTTGGGGAGAACTAGAAAATTTTGGGTAATGCCGGATCTAAAGATTACTTATTTTCGTTGAAAAGGAAAAAAATCATAAATACTTAATGGGAAATGTTTTATACATTACTTCAAAACAATTTTCAAAAAACACTTAGTGTTTTTTTAACTATCATCTACTCTTAAATTTTAATAATATCCTTTAGCCTTAAGAAATATTTTTGAGAAGTATTTTTAAGAAAAATATGTAACACTCCCATACTTAATTAGTTAGAGCAATTTATTAATTATTTTCACTATCATACAAGTAAGTCTGCGCTAGAACACTTGAAAAAATTTATATAAAATAGTGTGTTGGTTTGCCTTGCTTGCCAGCTACTGTACCCTGCCCCGGTGCAATGCATCTGGAATAATGTCAAATGTTGTTCTATCTAGATTTTTCAATAAATATTGTAAGAAAAAAAATTTTAAAAAGTCAGCCGACAGCATAGACCAATGCATGAAGAACACTGGGGGTCCATGCATATATATATATATATATAGAGAGAGAGAGAGAGAGAGAGAGAAAAAGAGAGTAGAGAATAAATTTACTTACAAGTTTTATATTTTTTTATTATTACATCAAAATTAAATTTATAATTAATTTAGATCAAACCAATATTTTAATTTTAATTTTAATTTTAATTATTTTAATTTAATAATAAAAATTTATATAATTTACATTAATATAATTAGATTTCTCCTCATATATATATATATATACCCTCAAGATAAGATAAGGGTACTTAATTATAAAAATTATTAAATAAATTAATAAATAAAATGAAAATAAAAATATATGTAAAGTTTATTGGATATAAAATAAAATAATTATAATCCGTATAATATTATTTTTAAAAAATTTAAACCCTATAATATTATTTTTTAAGGAATTTAATTTCTATACATTGTTAACGATTGAATTGAAATTCTTTAAAAAAATTACTACAAGGATTAAATTCCTTTAAATAATATTAGAGGAATAAAATTCATAAAAATAAAAAAATACAAGAATTTATGATACATTTTGACCTAATTAATTATGTTGATTTAGAAAGTAATGTGATTGTGGAAGAAATTAATTACCTATAATTATGAAAATTGAATAAAAGGCAAATTTTACTATACAATTTGAATTGATATGATTGTGAATAGAATAATTTCATAATTTGTCTCTAGTCGATAGTGATTACGAAAATGGGGCATGGGGAAGAGAAGAATATATATACATATATATATATATATATCAATTCAAATTATGAAATTGTATAGTAAAATTTGCCTTTTATTCAATTTTCGTAATATATATATATATATATATATAGCAATAAGGATAAGGAAGCCTTTCACACGGGTGAGAATGTAGTAAGTTATATACATAGTAGTAAATATGATTGTTGATTAATAGCATAATTCAAAGTTTAATTGATGGTTTATACAATTAATTTTAAGGGATAAAATTTAACATATTTAAAATTCAAATTTTAATATCTACAAAACTCTTTTTATTCTCAAAACTACGACCTTTTATAAAATAAAAAAAAAAGATTAGTAATAAAAAAGAAAAACTCAACCAAGCTTTTTTTATTTTATATATATATAAGTTACGGGCAATTTGCATTTAATTGATGAGAAATTAAGGATCTAACTTAAGGTTTATTTAGATAGACGATAAGATTAATTCTGATAAGATTGAAAATAACGGTAAAAATAAAATTAGTTATTATAGTGATAAGATTAAAATTAATAATAAGTACTTGTGTTTGGATGCAAATGCATTGGTGACAGTTAAATGAATTGAAATAAGAAAAGAAATTATAATTAAAGATATTAAATTAAAATGTATATATAATAAAAATTTTAAATTATTTAAAATTTATAAAATTAACAAATAATTTAAAAATTATTAAATTATTTTATATCAAATAATAGTTTTGATAATAAATAATTAAAATTTATTTATTTATTATATACGACTACATTTTACTTATTTATTTATTATGTTATAATTTTGAAGATATTTTTGTCTTTATAATTAAAATTTAAGGTTAAAAAAGAAAAAAAAAAAAAAAAAGAAAGTTAAAAACTCCAGTGCGATGAAGAAATTGGAGTAAATATGATCAGTGGCTCACCGTGATCAATCGCACTATTATCCTATTTCATTTGGATCTTACTGCTGCATTTGAGACTATTTCCCGTAACAATCGAAACCCCACTGGGGATTCAATGAAATCCAAACGGACCTTTAGAAGGAAGGGGGGAAATGTGAAAGACTTATGCACGTCGATCAAAAGAAAATTATAAAATTTAAGTCAAACTAATTTTTCGTGCAAGCAACGGTATATACATTAAACCAAATGAGTGCGTTCATTTAATCCTCATTTTGAAACCAAATGAGGCATTTTACGTTTACTACTTGTAAGACTAAATGTTGAAATCTATATGTCATATTATGCCTATCCACAATCTTATTCTTAATAAACCTACTTCCATGTCACATTTTACACAGATTCTGTAAAATATGAATTGAGCAACGTATTGCCTCGTGTGTATGTGTGTGTGTGTGTATATATATATATATATATATATATATATAAATTAAAGATTTATTTATATTAGTGTAACTTTTATATTTTTTTGAATTTTTGGATCAAAATTATTAAATTTAAAAATATCATTTTAATTTAAATGAGCCATTGATTTAATTTTGATATAAAGATAATGTAATAATATATGAATAAAATCATATATCATAAATAATGAGAAAATTTTATTTGATTTGCAGAAACACAGTGAAAGCATTGTTGCGAAAGTGTTGTGGAAACAAAGCTGACTTGATTCACTTGTCGAGAATAAGATCACGCGTTTAAAAATTGTCCACTAGTTAGTGTTAAGTTCTAAAATGTCAAACTATGAGATTCCTCTAAAATTTTCTTTTTTATGCCAATCTTTTTGTTTTCCTCTCTTATTCTTTATGTGACTTATCGTATAGTTTCACATGAATGAGACTTATCTCATTTTTTATTTGGATGAACATATTCATCTTCTTTGTTTCTCATCATGATGAATGCCACATCTAAAACTTTTTTCATCTTCTTCATTCAATTGCTAAATGCCATTTTTCTTCTCTTTTCTCTATAGACAAATGCCATTCTTTTTACATTAAGGAGAAAAGAGGCAAGCGATTTTTTTTTTATGGTTTTAATTCAAAAACCAGGACTCTTTAACTGTCCATGGTGGTTTCCTTTTCTTGGTTCAAACCAAGAATATAACTACCATATGTAGCTATTAGTTGTATAGAGCCTATCCACTCATTTTTAGGTGACATATTCCAACATCTCCCACTTGCACAAAATGGGTGGCAAATTTTCATGATCAATATAACATTTTTCAACTTTTTGCAATTAGTACATATAAAGAAATAAGTTGTACAACCAATATATTTTGAGAGCTTAATTGGTATATGACAATTAGGTGCATATAGCAGCTTAAAAACATATTTAGTTACTTATACAACTATTAGGTATGTATAGTAAATCTCAAATACAAGTAGAGTAAGTATGTAATACTTTAGATTTATTCAGTCACATTTTAAGTTCCTCACGATCTCTTTTTTGTCATATTATGTGATATACTTTTGTCTTCATAATTATGTTTGGCATCTCAAACATAACTGATCGACTCATGAATACAATTAAATGTGACACCTAAATGATCTTCACTTATTATAGAATCTCTTCATTTCAATCCAATTGCTATCCAAATATGTCCTATTAGATTAAATTAACCATAACCATTGGTAACATTCCAAGATAACTGATATTAAACTGAAACGTTAAGAAACAGTTGAAAGTTCTTAAAGATACTAAATGTGAGATCTTTTGATCTCAAGGATCCCATATAACAAGAAGTAAAAATTTATTATTCTACTACCCTTATTGGTTGAACTATACACATGTGATATGAAACAATTGCTATAGTATTATTCTCCTTTTC